TTTTTATAAGAAAAAATATATTTAAAAAAAAAACATAATTTTTTCGATAAAAGATAACCGTTCATAATAAATGAAAACAATAACCTAATAAAATAACACCTGCCACATGTATCATCTACTACAATAAGTTAAACTACACTACTATACGATCAGATCACGTAAAAGGCAATTATATACCCTTAAAAAAATAATTTATGATGATAAGATTCTTTTCTTTAAATTAAACTTTAGTTTTCTGTTATATTGGTACCAAGTAAATTATTTAATTATTGGTGCGGGACATATATACAACTACTTGCAAGAAATTGAAAAAAAAAAAAGTAGTGATAACCTCAATAAGTTTGTGGCCATAAATGACAAATAACAAAAACAAAAAGACATATCATATCAACTTTCTATTAGATTGGACCATAATGAATTAATTATTATTTGTCCCCAATAGCAGCCATAATCAAAGGTGACACAAAAAATAAAAAAATGTCAAGATATATCTAGAGAAAGTTGACTTATTAATTAAATATTTCAAAGTCAAAATCAATGAATAGTCAAGTTGGAATAAATTTATAACTAATATAATTTTTATACTATGAATGTCTAAATAACAAAAATCAATCGTTAATTTTATTTAATAACGAATCGAGTACTATTTAACGACAAACTAATTAATTATTGTGTTGTATTGCAGATTTGATAGAGATTTGAGGTGGAGAACAGGAGTACAACTTTTTCCTGTTGTTTGTGAGAGTTTTAACAACTTCAAGGTAACAAAAGAAGCCTTAGAAGAAGCATATAAAAAAGCTCAAGAATCAAATATCAAAGTAAAAGGATTACTTATAAACAATCCATCAAATCCATTAGGTACAATTTTGGACAAGGAAACATTAAAAGACATACTTAGATTCATCAATGACAAAAACATACATCTAGTATGTGATGAAATCTATGCAGCAACCGCGTTTAGTCAACCTTCATTCATCAGTATATCAGAAGTCATGAATGATGTTGTTGGATGCAACGATGATTTAGTACATATAGTGTATAGTCTCTCAAAAGATCTAGGGTTCCCTGGATTTAGGGTTGGGATTATTTACTCGTACAATGATGTTGTTGTCAATATTGCACGTAAGATGTCAAGTTTTGGACTTGTTTCAACACAAACACAACGGTTAATTGCTTCCATGTTATCAGACACTATCTTTGTTGAAAATTTCATCGCGAAGAGCTCGATGAGATTGTTACAAAGACATGATTTGTTCACTAAAGGATTAGGACAAGTTGGAATTACAACATTGAAGAGTAATGCTGGCCTATTTATTTGGATGGATTTGAGAAGGTTTCTTGAAAATTCAACATTTGATGATGAATTGAAACTTTGGCATATAATTATTAATAAAGTGAAACTTAATGTTTCACCTGGTTGTTCATTTCATTGCTCAGAGCCAGGTTGGTTTAGGGTTTGTTTTGCTAATATGGATGATGCTACAATGAAAGTTGCATTGAAAAGAATTAGACATTTTGTCTACTTACAACCAAGTAAGGGAGTTGAAGTTGCAACAAAGAAACAATATTGTAGAACAAGGAGCAAACTTGAAATAAGTTTGTCATTTAGGAGATTGGATGATTTTATGAACTCTCCTCATTCACCTATGTCTTCTCCTATGGTCCAAGCAAGGAATTAATCGTGACGTTCAGATCAACTTGTCCAATTCAGGTTATATGGACATGTTGATTATTTCACTAAGTACCTGATTGTAAGTCTAGTTACATAACATAGAATGGAAGTTTAGAGTGATTCTTTGTATTCTTTTATTAAAAGTTTTTTTTTGCCTATAATATACTATGATTGCAAAGAAAAAAAAAAAAAAAAAACAATCAAGTTATAGGCTTTTATTATATTGTGAAATGTGAAATTCTTTATTTCTTGTGTTATTTTTTTCTGTATAGCTTTTTGTAAGTTGAGGAAACTCAATTTGTAACTTGAGTTCAAGAGGCAAATGCAGAGGATATATACCTATCAATTTTTTCAATAATAATTTCTCAGAGATTTTTTTTTCCTTATTTTGAGCGGAGAATTTAATAGAGACATTATTGTGAATACTCTGGTAAAGAAATTTAGATATTTTGTGCCTTTGGAGACTGTTTTGTCGTGTTACATCACTAACATATCTTTTTTGTTTTTATTTGATCCGAAGAATGGATTGGATCAAAACAACTTTTTTATCTAAGTCCTCTATGTCTGTATTAATTAATTTCAGACCTCATGAAATCTCCAAATTTAATTTTCCATTTTTGGTAGATTTTGTTGTTGTACCTATACTAATCTTATCAGTGGTGGACCCTAAATTTTCATTTTTCAGTCAAAAATAAGAGAAGCATACATAGTGAAAAAAACCTAGGATATTCAACATATAACATACTTCAACAACAACATATCAATGTAGTGTCATAATAATTCAGTCAAAAATAAAAGAAGCATACATGATAGATTTTACACAGACCTTACTCCTAATTCAGAGGTAGAGAGATTGTTTTATAATAGATCCCGACTAAAGAAAAACAGTTCAAAGCAGTCCTGAAAAAATAAGCAACAGAAATACAAAAAACAATAAATAATAACAAAAATAAGTAGAAGAGATAGTAACAGAAAATAAACTACAATAAAATAATATAATAAAATAATCGAGGAACATCCAACAACCAACAAATAGTAATAGAAATTGAAGAACAAGAACTTACAAAACAATACTACTACGACGAATATGAACTAACAACAATACAATGTACTACTATCACCTACTGACCTACTACCATAATCCATGTCTGATGATCCAGTACACCCTCATATCTTTACATCATGTCCTCGATAAGCTGAATTCATCAACATATAATATTATTCGCGAAACCATGCATGTTTCAAAGCAGCCTCAGCAATAATCCTTTTATTTGGATCATAAGTGAGAAATTTGTTCAAAAGATCAATTCCAGAATTAGACAATACAGTATATGTGAAGGATATTGATGGAAATCTCTTCCTTAATGAATAATTATGCTTTTTATTTACAAATTTAACTTTGTTTAATCCACAAAGTTTGGTAAATCCTGGCCATATTTTCTCATCTGGGGTTCCAAGAATTCCAAATATCTTATTAATTTGATCAATCTTCGATTTTCCATCGAAAATCGGTTTATTTGTTAGTAATTCAGCCATGATACAACCTATAGACCACATATTGATTGCATTCGAGTATTTTTTTCATACCCATTAATAGCTCGGGTGATCTGTACCACAAAGTAACAACTTCTTGAGTATAAGGTTTCAAGGGAGGACCACTTTGAGTACGTCGTGCTAATCCAAAATCAGCAATTTTCAACTCACATTTCTCATTTATAAGTAAATTTGAAGTCTTTAGGTCACGAGGAATAATCCAATTATCATGAAGGTATTTCACACCTTCCAAGAGTTGGAGCATAAGACATTTGATTTCCCTTTGACAGAATCGTCGTTTTTCTGTCAACACTTGCAAGTCGTTTTCCAAATATTCCATCACAATATAAAAAACGCAATTATTGAGTTTGGTTGTCGTAGTCCCTACGACGACTTCTTTAACATGTACAATTGAAGGGTGATGACAAGTGAGAAGAATTTCTATTTCCCTTAAAAATGTTAAACGAAACACTTTTTCCTCATCTTTTTTCAGTATCTTTAACTTTTTTAGTGCAACAAATTCTCCTGTCTTTTTTTCTCTAGCTTTGTAAACAACTCCATATGTACCTTCACCTATCTTGCTAAGCCTCTCAAATTCTTCTACACTTCTACAACGCTCAAACATGTTGTCTCGATTTAGCGACATACAAATTCAATAGCTAAACAGTAAAATTTGTTGCTAATAATTCTATTTCGCGGTTAAATGGCTATTTAGAAAAAAGATCGAAGAGGAAAGAAAATTTAATAGTCTCAAGGTAGCTATGTACGGTTAACATAGATAATTGGAATAGTTATAAGTAAATAATAAAAACCTACTTTGATAAGAAATAGGCAACCTAATTAGAATAGAATTAGATAAATTCCATAAATAAACTAGTAAATCCGAATCCTAAAATATTTAGGATTATTAATTACCCTTTTGAGTTTTTTTCTTTTATGAGGTGATGTAAATATAAAATAAAAATTGGTCACCTTAAAATACCATTTAAGTATTTAAAAAGGAAAATTACTAAATTGAAAAATAAGCACGTAATTTACTACAGTATAATATATATGTTAAATTTACATCAATAACACGTTTTTTTATATATCGTTAATGTATATATGTCAAATCTTTTCTTTTTTCTTTTAATAGTTTCCGATTTAAGGGTATGTTGTTGCAACATGGGAAAAATGATTTTCATGAAAAATATTTTCTGTTTAATATAATGTAAAAATGTTTTTGTATATATTTTATTATGTCTCACATATTCAACCATCCACCTGGTAAAAAAAATATTAATTAAAGAATAGCGACAAACTTATCCTATTTCGAATAGTTTAAAGACAAAATTGACCTATTTTTTCTTGTTTTTGGAGCAACCGTTAGTGAAAAGAGTAATTTTAAAGTTATTTTGTTTAGTTTCAGGGTATTTCTTAGCAAATAATAACAATAAAGGTTACTAACACGATCCATTTTGAATAGCTCAACTCGACTCTTGGGTATTTTCTTAAAATGGAACATCATATAAATTATAAATACTATAAAATAAGATTTGATGATATTCATGGAGATTTTGTGACTATTTCAACTATAACAAGTTCTACACAATTGAATCGAAATTGTCGATGTATATAAGTTAAGAGTATGAGTTAAATTGTTTTAACAAATAATACAAGCATATGAATTCTCCTCCATACTATAAACCCAATAGTGTTGTGTCATATTAGGATTATAGTTCTTGTAAAGCTTTACAAGTTCATCAACTTTTTCATTATGATCATTTTGCCCCCTTCATCTTTTTTTATTACACTTTCATCCATCTTCTTTTTTTTCTGGCTCTTTTGTTGGTCCTACTAATATTTCTGGATGCAATAATATTTTCTTCAATTTCCCCACAACTTGAACTAGATCAACATCTCCTATAACTGTTAATTTCTTCTCTTTTAGATCAATTGATAGAGTTTCAATTCCTGTAATGTCGTGACATAATCAAAATTTTCATTAAGGGGTTCAAAATATAAAGAAGTAAACATATGAACTAGTCAAATAAAATTTAATATCTACAAAAATATATATATATATATATATATATTATTTTAATGATCATATATAAATAATATAATTATTCATTGATGAGAGTTCGAATGAACCCCTAGCCTCAAGCTGGTTCTGCCCCTAATCCATGAATTGTTGAATCAGGTGCATTATTCTACATTACTTGGTTAAAATTAATGTGTATATAAAAACATACGTGTATATACAATAATTACTTATAATAGTAATTAAGTACCTGAGAGGGTGGAGACAGCTTTCATAGCCTTTTGTTTCCCTTTGTTATCATGCACCTCTAATTTCAAAGCAATTTTCTGCACAAAAAATAAAATCCTGAAAAATGCTGAAATAAATTGAAGGACAGAAATTTACAAAAGCAATAGTACGACTATTAATATGAACGAACAACAATACAATGTAGTATTGCCACCTATTGACCACCTACTACCCTAATCCATATGTCCGAGGATTCAGTAGACCCTTATATCTTTAGATAAATTCACCAACATATAATATTATTCACGAAACCATGCATGTTTCAAAGCAGCTTCGGCAGTAATCCTTTTATTTGGATCATAAGTGAGAAATCTGTTCAAAAGATCAAATCCAGAATTAGATAATACAGTATCAGTGAAGGATATTGAGGGAAATCTCTTCCTTAATGAATAATTATGCTTTTTGTTTACAAATTTAACTTTGTTTAATCCACAAAGTTTGGTAAATCCTGGCCATATTTTCTCATCTGGGGTTCCAAGAATTTCAAATATCTTATTAATTTGATCAATCTCCGATTTTCCATCGAAAATCGGTTTATTTGTTAGTAATTCAGCCATGATACAACCTATAGACCACATATCGATTGCATTGGAGTATTTTTTCATACCTATTAATAGATCGGGCGATCTGTACCACAAAGTAACAACCTCATGAGTATAAGGTTTCAAGGGATGACCACTTTGAATACGTCGTGCTAATCCGAAATCAGCAATTTTCAACTCACCTTTGTCATTTATAAGTAAATTCGAAGTTTTTAGATCACGATGAATAATCCAATTATCATGAAGGTATTTAACACCTTCTAAAAGTTGGACCATAAGAGATTTGACTTCCCTTTGACTGAATCGACGTGTCATTTTTTCTATTAACACTTGCAAGTCGTTTTCCAAGTATTCCATCACAATATAAAAAACGTCGTTATTGTGTTTGGTCGTCGTAGCCCCTACGACGACTTCTTTAACATATACAATTGAAGGGTGACGACAAGTGAGAAGAATGTTTATTTCCCTTATAAATGTTAAAGGAAATCCTTCTTCTTCATCTTTTTTCGATATCTTTAACTTTTTTAACGCAACAATTTCTCCCGTCTTTTTTTCTCTAGCTTTGTAAACAACTCCATATGTACCTTCACCAATCTTGTTAAGCCTCTCAAATTCTTCAACACTTCTACAACCTTGAACCATGTTAACAGGATTTAGCGATAGACAAATTCAAAGCTAAACAGTAAAATTCGTCGCTAATAATTCTATTTAGCAATAGATTTCTATTAGTTACGAGCAAATTAGAATAGTGAAAAAAATCGAGGGGGGAAGAAAATTTTAATAATCTCGTTGTAGGTATGTACAATTAACGTTAGAAAATTGGAATATTTATAAGTAATTACTAAAAACCTACTTTGATCAGAAATAGGACACCTAATTAGAATAGAATTAAATAATTTCCTTAAATAAACTAGTAAATCCGAATCCTAAAACATTTAGGATTACTAATTAACCGTAATTAGATTTAATTAAAAATAAGGAAATAATACCAAAAATAGTACGAAATATTAACGATACGTAATGATTAATTATCATCCGTTAAATACCCCTGGTGGAACGTTTAATTGGTGATTTTTTTTTCTTTTTGAGTTTTAATTTTTATAGGGTGATGTTAAAAAAATGGTTACCTTAAAAATAATTACTATTTTATAAGTAATTGTCCCATGATAATAAGTAAAATTACTAAACTGAAAAATAAGCACGTAGCCCACTATAGTAGGTTAAATTATAATGATTTAACACAATTTATTTATTTTTATATTGGTAATGTATATATGTCAAATCGTTTCCTTTTAATTGTATGTGGAAAAATATTTTAATGCAAAAAGTTTTCATATTTAGCATTAAAAATGTTTCTTATAAGTTATTATGTCTCACATATTTAAACCCCCACACCGAAGAAAAAAAAGAATAAGGGCAAATTATCCTATTTCGAACCGTTTAATAAGAGCAAAACTAATCTATTTTTTCTGATTTATTTGGAGCAAGCGTTAGTAAGAACTAAGAAGGGTATTTCATATTTGTAAGCTATTTTGCTTGTTTGTGGGTATTCTTGAGCAAAAAAGAATAACATTAAGAATATTTTAGAGAAGAAAACGTACTAAAAAATAAAACTGATCCATTTTGAATAATTCAGAGGTATATTATTTAACCTTTTTTCCCATTAATCTACTACAGAGAAAATGACATAAATAGTCTCTTAACTATAGGAGTAGGTCTAAAATGACCCCTTAACTATGCACTTAACGGATTTAGTCCTTTAACTACTCAAAAACTTATCAGCTTTGGTTTCTTAACTATACATTTACCGGTTTTAGTCCCTTAACTATACACTTATCGATTTTAGTCCTTTAACTACAAGCTTACCGATTTTAGTCCTTTAAGTATTTAAAAACTTATCAGATTTGATCTTTGTCCATTTTTTTAAATACAAATAGCTTAGGTTTATATTTACAAAATTCATGCCTCGAGAAATTAATTTTTTTAGCAATTTTTTCTGTTGTTTCTCTCTCTTCACTACGTTTTCTTCAAATTAACCTTATGCGAAGAACCTTAACCTCAACGATTTAAAATAAAATTCACGAGGAAAGAAAATATAAGTCATAATTTTATTCAAAAGAGGATAAAATGAAGCATATTTATTGGTACTAATGACTTGAATATGCTAAACTTTATTATAAAAAGAAAAAAATTACTACCCATTAAATTCAAAGTTTGTACTCCAACGACTTCATTGAACGGAATTTGTTTAATTTTTCAGAAATTGAAATTTATAAAATGGTAGATTTGCAATTTTTTTAATTCTTGTTAAAAATAGATCAATTTTATTATTCTATTCATTTTATTTTACGTAAAGAATTTGAGTAAATTAAATAAAATCCGCACTGATTAGCATATTCAAGTGCGGATTCAAGTCATTAACAACAATTATATGCTTAATTTTATCCTCCATTGAATAAACTTAGGACTTATATCTTCTTTCCTCATTAATTTTATTTTGAACCGTTGACGTTATTGTTCTTTTTATAAGAGTAGTTTGAAGAAAAAAGGCGGGGATAGAGAAAAAACTTTAAAAATGGGTTAAATATTTAATTTCACGAATATTTCCGTTAATATAAACCTAAGTTATTTGTATTAAAAAATGGACAAAGACCAAACCTGATAAGTTTTTGAATACTAATTAAAAGACTAAAATCGGTAAGTTTATAGTTAAGGGACTAAAACCGGTAAATGTATAGTTAAGGAACCAAAGCTGATAAGTTTTTGAATAGTTAAAGGACTAAATCCGTTAAGTGTATAGTTAAGAGACCATTTTAGACCTACTCCTATAGTTAAGGGACTATTTATGTCATCTTCTCCAATATATATGTAATGTTGGTTTTCGCTCTCGAAGACTTTCTTAAAAAAGGAACTTCATATTTACAAATATCATAGAATAAGATTTGATTCTATTCATGAAGATTTTGTAACTATTTCAAAAATAAAAATTCTGACTCAATTGAATCGAAATTGTCAGTATATATAAACTAAATCATTTCTAACAAATAATACAATCATTTGGATTCTCCTCCATACTATATAAACCCTGTAGCGTTGTGTCATATTAGGATTGTAGTTTTTGTAAAGCTTTACAAGTTCATCAACTTTTTCATTATGATCTTTTTTGCCCCGATCATCTTATTTCTTATTACACTTTCATCCTTCTTATTTTTTTTTAGCTCTTTTGCTGGTCTTACTAATAATATTCTGGATGCAATAATATTTTGGGGAAAATAAGCAAATACTCCATAAAAGCAAAATAATTATAAACATATACCTCTTTACATTCATACCCCACTAAATAATTACACTATACCCCCTTACTAATTTCGATTAACTGATACTAGATCAGTATCATATACTGTATTAGTATCATTAAGGCTGATAATTTCGCTTAACTGATACTAAATCTGAATCATATATTGTATTGGTATCATTAAGGCTGATAATTTCATTGAATTGATACTAAGACAGTATATATATATATATATATATATATATATATATATACTCTTTTAGTATCATTGACTAATGAGTAATTTCTTAACAAAAAACCTTAATGATACCACAACAATATACATATATCCTCTTATAGTATCATTGACTAATAAGTAATTTCTGAACTAAAAACTTTAATGATACCAATACAATATATATAAATGAAATTATCTACCTTAATGATATCAAAACAATATATAATACCGATTTAATATCAGTTAAATGAAAATTATCACCCTTAATGAATGGGGGGTATGAACTGTAATTATTTATGAGAAAATGGGTATTTCAAGAATTAGTTTGAATTTGGATATGAACTTGTAATTACTTTGAATTTTATGGCCCATTTATATAGTTTTCCCTAATATTTTCTTCAATTTCCCCACAATTTGAACTGGATCAACATCTCCAATTACTTTTAATTTCTTCCTTTTTAGATCAATTGATAGAGATTCAATCCCTGCTAGCAAAAAAAATCATTTGCCATCCATGTCTTGTTGAATAAGGTGTCACTTTACATCGCTTCGTTAAAATTAGTATGTGTATATACAAAAATATTTTTTAGAAAAAATAATGTGTATATAAATAGGGAAAATTGTATATAATAGCAAACTATTAATTCAAATTAAATGCTATAAATATAGTTTGATTTAATTGTACCCCATAGCAAACTATTGTTATTTAACCTCTCTCCTGGTGAATCTCGCTCGCCACTCGTGTATAAAGTGTGTTTGTGTTTGTATAAAGTGAGAGAAAATTGTATATATACATATATTTACGTTCCCCTCTCTCCCCTCTTCCAGATCTCGCTCGCCACTCTCCCAGATCTCGCTCTCTCACTCGTCTCTCTCACTTTATACAAAAACCGCAAATTGTATAAAATGCGTTTGTGTTTGTATAAAGCGAGAGAAAATTATATATATACATACATTTTCGTTCCTCTCTCTCCCCTCTCCTAGATCTCGCTCGCCACTCTCCCAGATCTCGCTCTCTCACTTCCCTCTCTCACTTTATACAAAAACGCAAATGTATAAAATGCGTGAAAATTGTATATATACATATATTTTCATTCTCCTCTCTCCTCTCTCCCAGATCTCACTCGCCACTCTCCCAGATCTCACTCACCACTCTCCCAGATCTCGCTCGCTCACTCGTCTCTCTCACTTTATACAATTGATCTTTTTGTATATGTATACCAAAGCAGATTATACAACTGCTTTCTTTTATATATGTATAGCGAAATATACATATTTATGTTTGCTATGGAGCGCAATTATGCAAAGTTTGCTATAGCATACAAATATGAATTTTGTGTTTGCTATATGTGAAAGTTGCTCATATAAATACAATAAGTTAACACTAGCTTAAAACTAATACAGAGTGTATGTGCATATCAATTTATTACATTATTATGAAGAGATCGAATTTACAAGTCGAATTGTTATAATAGATCGACATTATTTGCACAGAATTATGTGTATGACTTCTAAAATATGTCAAAAGGAAGAAGTGTTTGATTGTTGTGACAAGTATTTCCTCTCTACAAGTTTAATTTGTTCGAAAAAAATATACTTTTATGTATTATTAGTGTGGTACAAGTTTTTTTTTGGGAAACTAAGTAAATATCCCCATAAAAGCAAAATAATTATAAACATATACCCCTTTACATTCATACCCCACTAAATAATTATACTATATACCCCTTTCAACTAATTTCGCATAACTGATATTATATCAATATCATATATTGTATTGGTACCATTAAGACTGATAATTTTGCTTAATTGATACCATATATACTGTATTGATATCATTAAGATTTCTTGTTCAGAAATTACTCATTAGTCAATAATGGAAAAATCAAAATGAAAATTAGAGACTATAAAATATAAAGAAAACGATAAAAATATGTTCACAAATAGATCTTATTATCAATATGTAAACACAACATTAAGCACCAAATAGTCAATCTTAAAACCTCCATTTTAATATTGTGAAAATAATTGATTAATTTAAAATTTGAGACGATAAAATAGATTTTATTTCTACCTCGTAAAAATAAAAATTGTTTCCCATAATTCTCAACTCAAATAATAATATTATTA